CCGTGTGTCCGTTGTGGTCTTTGAGAAAGAATTCTCAAAATGCGGGCTCAAATCGGGATAAAAAATCACATCAGGCATAGTTAATGAACTAATGAGGTCACTAATTGCCTCAAACCCGCCGTATCTCTCTAGTTTTCATCCACCAACACCTTGAAAACAAACCAAATCAAATAGAACGTCAATACGTTAAGAAAAAACTTAAAGAAAGATAAAACGGGGGGAGAGACGAGGTTAGTTCAGTATGGAGGAGATTAATAAGGAAAGATGCATCAACTGCTGATTACAAAACCAAACCTGGATCGACAGCTCTGGGTTTGGATGCGCGCCTCTTACCTAGAAGTGTAATAAGTGAATTCATATGTTTTTGGACATGATTCTTGACTTTTTCGCTGTCTCTGTTTAAATGACTGCAGTTAGATTTCATCAAAATTACCAGTTGAAAGCACTGCTAACCATGCTCCCATTTACAGACTGATTGTGAACAGAAATTCGGAGAATGTGAACTTGACGCAGACACTGATGCCTGTAAACGATTGGAGTGCATGAAGAATTTTGGAGTATGTCTTAAAACTGACCTGTCGTCCGAGAAATCTTCCACGCCTCCTCCAAAGATGGTGAGTCCATTATGAATGAAATGGTTGCCCCATCCTCTCTCTCTGTCTCTTTTTTCGTTGTTTAGAGCTTCAAAATTTTGTGATAGTGCCGCAAAAATTTGTTGCACTTTTCTCGTAAGCAGCCTATTAAGTTATCGTTAAATGATAATCATATACGCAGCACCATTCTCGAAAAACCTAAGACTTGGACTTACTCTGATAAACATACTTTAGTTTTTCAGTAATATACAATCTAACTTAGTCTATACCTCCCCGTAATCCTTCATTTTTTCTTGAGGCAGTTCGCGTCACGATAAAATTCTTCTGTCGATGGTACATTTGAACTCGTGACCACTACGCTTATATAAACACCAGTTACCTGAAAATAACTATATTTACCAGCAGTAGCTAGTAAATATCTTCAAAACATTTTTTTTCAAATTTCCCTTAGAAAAATATTTTCAGGCATATTTAAAGGGTACAGCTAAGAACATATATGTACATAAACCTCAGTTCCTGCTTCATGCCCTAACTTAACCTATTTTCTTCTTTTCCCTGATAGAGTCCCTGCCTTGACAAGACAAATACATGCTTTGAACTAGCTCAAGAAGACTGCACAAAGAAGTTAGAATGTACAGTGTGCAGCAAGTACTGCATGAATGAAGATCCAAACCCACCGTCCTACTGCGCAGCTTTCTAGGCTGGCAGTCACCTGCTGGGAAAACCATCTCCTTCAGTCGAGAACATCATGCATTAAAAAAGAAAAATAGCAAAGAAACTAGAAAGCAGTTGTAGTCAATGGTGACGGGAGGGATTTTCAAGAAGCTTCTACTGAATCATAGAGATAGTTTGGGAATAAAGCATTGAGCAATTACATGCACATTTGGGAAGTGTTTCCTTTACCTCACATCAAATAACCATGCCCTGCCCATACTTCGCAATTCTGACTCCTGAGTCAAAAAAGAACTAAACTTCACCTACTCCAAATAAACCCTATTTCATACTTTCTTTACATCCTGGAGATTGTACCAATCATCTCCGAGGTTGCGTCGAGCTCTCTAAAGGACAAAATTTCCGCAATACCACAATTTTAACACATATCGTCACTCAAAGCCGAATAAAATTTACAACGATACCATGCTCCTTTCCGGGCGCAAAATATTAGGTCATGAGATCACGCAATCGTGTCGTCAGTTAAATTGGAAAAAAGTTCTTTTTTTTGGTTGGCAACAAAAACGTTTTTTACCTTGGATAAGTCACGCCCGGCCAGGAGGCTATCACTCAATTTTCTTTTCAACGTGAGTGATTTTATTTTTACTATCAGTTAGCTTGTACAATATTTATTAGACTATTTTAATTGAAACCGATCCCCACAACAACTGCTTCCATCCTTGCAATTTTGCTTTCGCGACGCATCGTACACGTTACAAGTATTATCGACAAATAAACCTTTTCTATTTCGGAATCGGTCACCGCTTCTCCAGCACTTAAAACGTCTTTCCTTTTCCTTTTTCCTTTGGCGAAGGTCTGGTACCGGACCAGGAAACACCCCTGCTCAGTTGATTCTCCAGATTCTCAACTACATGAGCTTTGGTGTCGATGTTCCTCTCTTCTCCACCCGGGTGTTAATTTTCTCTCTCTGGTTGTCTTTCCATATTGTCTTCCACTCACGGTCACCTACACCAAACACAATGGCAAAATAACCATCTCCTTCTCACTTATCACATTTTATTTGATGGAATTTTTATTTACAATTTCATCTTTTTTACATGAAAAACAGTTTTTGAGGTTTTTTTTTTTTGGCAGGGATGAATTTGTCCGACCCAGCAAATTTGCCAGGACAATTTTTTTTACAAAATTAAACTACAAACGATATATTTTTAGCATCTGATTCACATCTTCGATGTTTAGTTTATTTTTCGATTCTACACTTTTGAACTATTTACTACTCTTTTTCTTGATATACTTTTCTTTCCAAGTAAATATATTATACCTTCCACTTCTTAAACATATACTATCGACCACATCAGCTTCTCTACCATGTACTACCTGTCAGCAATCAACATCTTCAACACTAATATACGACACCTGTCAAGACCACGACTGCCTAAAAAGAAGGAGCTTAGTTACTCTAATTAACGGTGATGCCTTGTGCCTTTCACGCACTTTCGTCTTGGCCGAATGACATACGACTCTAATTCTGGAAAAAACCGATAAGCGATCAAGACATCTTCCAATTAATGTTATTTTGCCTTAGCAATGGCTGTTCTTCACATCTTATTACTGACTGCATCCTCACATCATAACATTGGGCAACAACAAAGAGGGAGAAAAACGAGCAAAGCAAATGGATTATATCAAGAACAACATTGGCTCTAAACTACACATTTGGTTTTATTTTGATTAACACCATGCAAAATGGCTCTTTTTGAATGGACAAGTTAGGACAAAAGTAGCCTCTGACTACACTTATTCTACATCGAACATTAAATACCTATCCTTTCAGATCGTATAATTGTCAATTTAACATCAGGTAAACTTTTATAAATTTCTGAGATATTCCCAGTAGGTGTCCCATGGAATATCGAAATGTAGTTCGTACTTTCTGATCCCTATAGCAACTTGCTTAAAGAAGGTTTTTGCTTTAATTAAAGCCAAGGTCCTTAGGACGTGTTGGTACGGAGACTGCGCTGAGGGAAACTTCAGCCCCTCCTCCTCTCCCTCCCCCCCACCCCACTTTTTTAGAAAAAAGTTTGTCCGGCGAAGCATGCCCCTACTTCCTTCCGTGAAAGCTAAAGCTTTTGCGTTCATTTTTAGCTCTACACATTAAAAAGTTTGCTACGCGGGCCCTCAGGTATTTGCTGCATGCCATCTGTGAAATTACGGATTTGAATTATGTCGCAATAAAGTTCTTTATACCAAAGGAAACCCTACTTTTCCTCTGTGTTTCATACCACGTATTAGTCAGCTGCCATTATGCATATCATGAATAACCTTGATTTAAGCAATAAAGTCCAATCAGTTTATATAGATGATATAGCAGTCGAGTGTGCCTGTGCTCGCGATAAATCCAACATTAGCCCAGGCATATATATCGCAACAGTTGGACTTTAACCAACCTTCAGTCTTAATTCAAAGTTTGAAACTCGGCCAGACAAGAAACGTAGAGATTGAAAAAGAGCGCGTCTGCTTTTACGCGTAGAAAATAGAGCATTTTGAAGGAGAGAAATAGTTACTTAATTTCGAGAAATTTTTTTATTCTTAATTTCGAGCTAAGATTATTCTAACACCAATTTGCTCACTTTTGACATCAAATATATAAAAATATTTGCTCGCTTGAGGGAATGCACCACACTGCAGTACAAGAGCGTAATTCTTAAACTCTTAAAGAGTCTTGTCTTCAGTCCATGCCATGTGTACATGCTCATTTTATCTTATCCGCGTCATTTTTGCATGCCTGCGGAAGTACACCATCTGCTCAAATGTGAACACTCTACAACTGTGCAAGCTGTCTTGGCTTAATGTTTAAATAATTGGTCGTCAAATGCAAACACTTAACAAGACTCGTTAAGTTTCACTAATTCTCTAGTATATAAAATGAATCTTTTAGCTAGATAGGTGTACCGATAAATAAACAAGACGTTGCTGTAAAGTGTGTGTCGATCTTTTGTTTTCGTTTTTTCTCTGTTTTTTCTGGCTTTTTTAAATATATAAATCTTATTTTATCTTTTTCATCACGAAGGTAAATTTGTAAATCTTTTGTATATTCAGCTGCACCCACTGACAAAATCCGGCCGAAACAATATAGTAGAAACTGAAGCGAAAGAGTTACACTCGGAAAAACTGTCTTCTAATTTTACGGATCAATGTTGACCTCAGTTATAAAATTGCAAGACACAAGACACGCAAACAAGCGCAAGGAGAGAAAAAACTCTTCATCACTGTTGAAAATCTATTTCCCGGGGGCCTAACGACTTGAGAAGCCAAAGGGGATCTCTAACTTATTCAAGCAGCATCACAAATTATCTCCAATTTATTCACGCACGAATGGAAGACTATAATTTTGAGATACAATAAATGGTCACAACTTGTACTCGGTTGTAGGCGTTTTCCTGCTTTAACTCAAGGATTGTTCAACTTTTATAACCTTGTTAAAACCAAATAACGGCAAGAAGTATTTATGTTGGTACGTTTAATTGTTTCCTCGCGGCCGATGATCCCGCTCTAAATAAACTCATTACCTATTTCCCAAGGGCATGGCAAAAAAAGGTCCCATGAATGAACAAAGACTCTTTTGTTATTTCCCTTGAACGATGTAGGAGCGGTAAGCAGTCTTAACTATAAATAGAGTAGACTAAGGTACCTTCGTTATACTGCCAAGCAAAACAGCCAAGCAACCAACTCAAGATGAGATCTCTACAATGTTTCCTCGTTCTCTTGGTCACTGGGGCTTCAGTCGGTTTCGTAGTCGACACATCGCTTTATCATCCAGCCCTTCTGAAGTTCTTTAACGAAAACGTTGATAAGCTTATACAGGGATTGAAGGGTGTAGAGAGCCAGGATGATCCAACAAGCCAACCTGCATTCATAGTAAGTTAAATGGTCAGTTTTAAGTGCCGCTCTCGACTTCCTTTCGAAAAAACAGTTTTCTTTTCTTTTTTTCCCATGAAAAGGATTTAGGACACATCTTTCAAAATTATTTTACTTATTCTCCAATTCTTTTTTTTTTTTTGCGTCGCCACTATAAACCAGACACCACCCGTGTGTCTGTTGTGGTCTTTGAGAAAGAATTCTCAAAATGCGGGCTCAAATCGGGCTAAAAAAATTACATCGGGCATAGTTAATGAACCAATGAGGTCACTGATTGCCTCAAACCCGCCGTATCTCTCTAGTTTTCATCCACCAACATCTTGAAAACAAACCAAATCAAACAGAACGTCAATACGATGAGAAAAAACCTAAAGGAAGATAAAAGGGGGGGGAGACGAGGTTAGTTCAGTATGGAGGAGATTAAAAAGGAGAGATGCACCAACTGCTGATTACAAAACCAAACCTGGATCGACAGCTCTGGGTTTGGATGCGCACTTTTTACCTAGAAGTGTAATAAGTGAATTCATATGTTTTTGGACATGATTCTTGACTTTTTCGCTGTCTTTGTTTAAATGACTGCTGTTAGATTTCATCAAAATTACCAAATGAAAGCACTGCTAACCATGCTCCCATTTACAGACTGATTGTGAACAGAAATTCGGAGAATGTGAACTTGACGCAGACACTGATGCCTGTAAACGATTGGAGTGCATGAAGAATTTTGGAGGATGTCTTAAAACTGACCTGTCGTCCGAGAAATCGTCCACGCCTCCTCCAAAGATGGTGAGTCCATTATGAATGAAATGGTTGCCCCATTCTCTCTCTGTCTCTCTCTTCGTTGTTGAGAGCTTCAAAATTTTGTGATAATGCCGCAAAAATTTGTCGCACGTTTCTCGTGAGCAGCCTATTAAATTATCGTTAAATGATAATCACGTACTCGGCACCATTCTCGAGCAACCTAAAAAGACTTGGACTTACTCTGATAAACAAACTTTAGTTTTCCAGTAATATACAATCTAACCCAGTCTATACCTCCCCGTAATCCTTCATCTTTTTCTTGAGGCAGTTCGCGTCACGGTAGAATTCTTCTGTCGATGGTGTATATGAACTCGCGACCGTTACGCTTATTTAAACACCAGCGACCTGAAAATAACTATATTTACTAGCGGTAGGTAGTAAATATCTTCAAAATATTTTTTTCAAATTTCCCTTGGAAGAGTATTTTATGGCACATTTAAAGGGTACAGGCAAGAACCTATATATACATACACGTCAGTTCCTGCTTCATGCCCTAACTTAACCTATTTCCTTCTTTTCCCTGATAGAGTCCCTGCCTTGACAAGACAAATACATGCTTCGAACTAGCTCAAGAAGACTGCACAAAAAAGTTAGAATGTACAGTGTGCAGCAAGTACTGCATGAATGAAGATCCAAACCCACCGTCCTACTGCGCAGCCTTCTAGGCTGGTAGTCACCCGCTGGGAAAACCATCTCCTTCAGTCAAGAACATTACTCGTAAAAAGGAAAAATAGCAAAGAAATTAATGGTGACGGGAGGGATTTTCAAGAAGCTTCTGTTGAACTATAGAGATAGTTTAAGAATAAAGCATTGAGCAATTACATGAAGATTTGGGAAGTGTTTTCTTTACCTCAAATCAAATAACCATGCCCATACTTCGCAATTCTGACTCCTGATTCAAAAAAGAACTAAACTTCATCTACTCCAAATAAACCCTATTTCATACTTTCTTTACATCCCGGAGATTGTACCAATCATCTCCGAGGTTGCGTCGAGCTCTTTCAAGGACAAAATCTCCGCAATACCACATTTTTAACACACATCGTCACTCAAAGCCGAATGAAATTTGCAACGATACCATGCTCCTTTCCGGGCGTAAACTATTACGTCATGAGATCACGCAATCGTGGCGTAAGTTAAATTGGAAAAAGTTTTTTTTTTTTTTTTTTTGTCGGCAACAGAAACATTTTTTACCCTGGATAAGTCACGCTCGGCCAGGAGGCTATCGCTCAATTTTCTTTTCAACGAGAGTGATTTTATTTTTGTTATCAGCTAGCTTGTACAATATTTATTAGACTATTTCTATTGAAACCGATCCCCACAATAACTGTTTCCATCCTTACAATTTTGCTTTCGCGACGCATCGTACACCTTACAAATGTTATCGAGAAATAAACCTTTTCTATTTTGGAATCGGCCACCGCTTCTCCAGCACTTAAAATGTCTTTCCTTTTTCTTTTTCTTTGGACTCGGCAAAGGGTCTGGTACCGGACCAGAAACACCCCTACTCAGTTGATTCTCCATATGTGAAGTGATTCCTAGTGACATTCACAATAATAATGTACTAGGCTTAAGTTGGTTTGATTTATTTCATATTTCTTTTTACTAAAAGAAAAGCATTTTTTTCTTTCTTTTTCTTATGATATCAATGAATAGAAAATTTACATGAAATAAAACAATTTTTTTACAAAATTTAACTACAAACGATATGTTTTCAGCATTTGATTCCCATCTTCGATGTTTAGTTTATTTTCGATTTTACACTTTTGAACTATTTACTACTCTTTTTCTTGATATAATTTTCTTTCCAAGTAAAAATGATATAAGTAAACATATTATATTTACTTCTTAAAATAATATTATATTTACTTCTTTTTCCACTTCTTAAACATTTACTATCGATCACATCAGCTTCTCTGCCATGTACTACTTCTCAGTAATCAACACCAATATACGACACCTGTCAAGACCACGACTGCTTAAAAAGAAGGAGCTTACTTACTCTAATTAACGGTGATGCCTTGTGCCTTTTATACACTTTCGTCCTGGCCGAATGACATACGAATCAAATTCTGGAAAAAACCGATAAGCGATCAAGACACCATCCAATTAATGTTATTTTGCCTTAGCAATGGCTGTTCTTCACATCTTATTACTGACTGCATCCTCACATCATAACATTGGGCAACAACAAAGAAGGAGAAAAACGAGCAAAGCAAATGGATTATATCAAGAACAATATTGGCTCTAAACTACACATTTGGTTTTATTTTGATTTACACCAAGCAAAATGGCTCTTTTTGAATGGACAAGTTAGGACAAAAGTAGCCTCTGACTACACTTATTCTACATCGAACATTAAATACCTATCTTTTCAGAACGTATAATTGTCAATTTAACATCAGGTAAACTTTTATTATTTTCCGAGATATTCCCAGTACGTATCCCATGGAATATCGAAATGTAGTTCGTACTTTCTGATCCTTATAACAACTTGCTTAGAGAAGGTTTTTGCTTCAATTAAAGCCAAGTTCCGTAGGACATATGTAGGTACAGAGACTGCGTAGAGGGAAACTTCAGCCCCTCCTCCTCTCCCTCCCACCTTTCCAAAAAAAAAAATTTGTTAGGTTACGCATGCCCCTACCTCCTTCCTTGAAAACTAAAGCTTATGCGTTCATCTTTAGCCCCACACACTAAAAAGTTTGCTACGCGAGCGCTCAGGTATTTGCTGCATGCCATCTGTGAAATTACGGCTGCCATTATGTATATCATGAATAACCTTGATTTAAGCAATAAAGATTATTCTAACACCAATTTGCTCACTTTTGACATCAAATATATAAAAAATATTCGCTCGCTTGAGGGAATGCACCACACTGCAGTACAAGAGCGTAATTCTTAAACTCTTAAAGAGTCTTGTCTTCAGTCCATGCCATGTGTACATGCTCATTTTATCTTATCCGCGTCATTTTTGCATGCCTGCGGAAGTACACCATCTGCTCAAATGTGAACACTCTACAACTGTGCAAGCTGTCTTGGCTTAATGTTTAAATAATTGGTCGTCAAATGCAAACACTTAACAAGACTCGTTAAGTTTCACTAATTCTCTAGTATATAAAATGAATCTTTTAGCTAGATAGGTGTACCGATAAATAAACAAGACGTTGCTGTAAAGTGTGTGTCGATCTTTTGTTTTCGTTTTTTCTCTGTTTTTCTGGCTTTTTTAAATATATAAATCTTATTTTATCTTTTTCATCACGAAGGTAAATTTGTAAATCTTTTGTATATTCAGCTGCACCCACTGACAAAATCCGGCCGAAACAATATAGTAGAAACTGAAGCGAAAGAGTTACACTCGGAAAAACTGTCTTCTAATTTTACGGATCAATGTTGACCTCAGTTATAAAATTGCAAGACACAAGACACGCAAACAAGCGCAAGGAGAGAAAAAACTCTTCATCACTGTTGAAAATCTATTTCCCGGGGGCCTAACGACTTGAGAAGCCAAAGGGGATCTCTAACTTATTCAAGCAGCATCACAAATTATCTCCAATTTATTCACGCACGAATGGAAGACTATAATTTTGAGATACAATAAATGGTCACAACTTGCACTCGCTTCTAGGCGTTTTCCTGCTTTAACTCAAGGATTGTTCAACTTTTATAACCTTGTTAAAACCAAATAACGGCAAGAAGTATTTATGTTGGTACGTTTAATTGTTTCCTCGCGGCCGATGATCCCGCTCTAAATAAACTCATTACCTATTTCCCAAGGGCATGGCAAAAAAAGGTCCCATGAATGAACAAAGACTCTTTTGTTATTTCCCTTGAACGATGTAGGAGCGGTAAGCAGTCTTAACTATAAATAGAGTAGACTAAAGTACCTTCGTTATACTGCCAAGCAAAACAGCCAAGCAACCAACTCAAGATGAGATCTCTACAGTGTTTCCTCGTTCTCTTGGTCACTGGGGCTTCAGTCGGTTTCATAGTCGACACATCGCTTTATCATCCAGCCCTTCTGAAGTTCTTTAACGAAAACGTTGATAAGCTTATCGGGGGATTGAAGGGTGTAGAGAGCCAGGATGATCCAACAAGCCAACCTGCATTCATAGTAAGTTAAATGGTCAGTTTTAAGTGCCGCTCTCGACTTCCTTTCGAAAAAACAGTTTTCTTTTCTTTTTTTCCCATGAAAAGGATCTAGGACACATCTTTCAAAATTATTTTAGTTGTTCTCAAAATGCGGGCTCAAATCAGGCTAAAAAATCACATCGGGCATAGTTAATGAACCAATGAAGTCACTGACTACCTCAAACCCGCCTTATCTCTCTAGTTTTCATCCACCGACATCTTAAAAACAAACCAAATCAAATAGAACGTCAATACGTTGAGAAAAAACTTAAAGAAAGATAAAACGGGGGGGGGGAAAACGAGGTTAGTTCAGTATGGAGGAGATTAATAAAGAAAGATGCACTAACTGCTGATTACAAAACTAAACCTGGATCGACAGCTCTGGGTTTGGATGCGCACCTCTTACCTAGAATGTGATAAGTCAATTCATATGTTTTTGGACATGATTCTTGACTTTTTCGCTGTCTCTGTTTAAATGACTGCAGTTAGATTTCATCAAAATTACCAGATGAAAGCACTGCTAACCATGCTCCCATTTACAGACTGATTGTGAACAGAAATTCGGAGAATGTGAACTTGACGCAGAAACTGATGCCTGTAAACGATTGGAGTGCATGAAGAATTTTGGAGGATGTCTTAAAACTGACCTGTCGTCCGAGAAATCTTCCACGCCTCCTCCAAAGATGGTGAGTCCATTATGAATGAAATGGTTGCCCCATTCTCTCTCTCTGTCTCTCTCTTCGTTGTTGAGAGCTTCAAAATTTTGTGATAATGCCGCAAAAATTTGTTGCACTTTTCTCGTAAGCAGCCTATTAAATTATCGTTAAATGTTAATCACATACTCGGCACCATTCTCGAGCAACCTAAAAAGACTTGGACTTACTCTGATAAACATACCTTAGTTTTCCAGTAATATACAATCTAACTTAGTCTTGAGGCAGTTCGCGTCACGGTAGAATTCTTCTGTCGATGGTATATATGAACTCGTGACCGCTACGCTTATTTAAACACCAGCAACCTGAAAATAACTATATTTACTAGCGGTAGGTAGTAAATATCTTCAAAATATTTTTTTCAAATTTCCCTTGGAAAAGTATTTTATGGCACATTTAAAGGGTACAGGCAAGAACCTATATGTACATACACGTCAGTTCCTGCTTCATGCCCTAACTTAACCTATTTTCTTCTTTTCCCCGATAGAGTCCCTGTCTTGACAAGACAAATACATGCTTCGAACTAGCTCAAGAAGACTGCACAAAAAAGTTAGAATGTGCAGTGTGCAGCAAGTACTGCATGAATGAAGATCCAAACCCACCTTCCTACTGCGCAGCTTTCTAGGCTGGCAGTCACCCGCTGGGAAAACCATCTTCTTCAGTCGATAACATAACACATAAAAAGGGAAAATAGCAAAGAAACTAGAAAGCAGTTGTACTTAATGGTAACGGGAGGGATTTTCAAGAAGCTTCTGTTGAACTATAGAGATAGTTTGAGAATAAAGCATTGAGCAATTACATGCACATTTGGGAAGTCTTTTCTTTGCCTCACATCAATAACCATGCCCATACTTCGCAATTCTGACTCCTGAGTCAAAAAAGAATTAAACTTCTTGCCAGATACGCCCCATACCAAGTGAAACGCCACCGAGGAAATCTAATTAATAACGTAATGATGTCAAAAAAGGTGAAAACATTGCCCACCTCATTCGAAGCTCATCTCTCTGAATCTTATGTCTAAGAGAGTATTAATAAGGTTAACCAACCGACGTAAAACGTCCAAAAAAATTTAGGCGTTAGCCGTAATAATTGACACATTTTAACCGATAGGTGTACAATAAAAGTTAGGCGTAAAAGCAATTTCTGGTGACAACGATGGAATAATATTAACCGTTGGCCGTAAAATCGCCAACATTATGACCGTTAGCCTTAAAAGCCGTTACTCCATTGAGATCCTATTCTAAACTACCAAACTTACAAGATTAAAAGTCTGTATATCACCTCCGCCCTGAACCTCTAAGCTTCAGTGCAGTAGCAAGGCAGATTACAGGTAATAGTTTAATTCCACTGCGCGTTGCAAATCGCAAAGCTTGAAGCAGAAAATGTAATTCCTGCGCTAAACGATTGGCACGCGCCATGGGCAAGCAAACCAGATAAAAGCTAAGAAATCAAGAGAAATATCACAATGAGTACTTGATAAATTAGAGCATATATATGCAAATGACTTCAATCGCCTGAAAATGTTTTGACCTGAGGCACTAATGCATCGATAAATTCCAATCTTCAACATCCCCCCCGGGCATTTGAACTTTTGACAATTGGCTCATTCAAATTGGCGTACCCCGTGCAAAAAATGTGTTCAAATGCCCCACCCAAGCATAACGAAAGGTCTTCGTGTGATCATTAGATTTTGTAGAATCAAGCAAAGTTTGTGTTGCCGCTCATTGGTTTTCCTCTCGTAAGTGTCATTCTACGATGTGGAAATTTTCTTCTAAGGCATTTTCTCACGAAAGCGGACTCTCTACCTTTAAACTCCTCGTGTATTCCACCGGTTCAAATTTCTCAACCCACCTAGGCCGGTTGAAATTTCCCACCCCCGGGCAGGGACGACAATGAAATACTCGTGAGTCACCGGCGGGGAGAATGTTGAAGCTTCAGATTGATCGGCACATTCCAGTTTTAGCTTTGGATGTGATTGATGGAGAAAATGGCAATTTGCCTCACTCCATCCGAGAGTGAAGTAAAGCAAAACCATCGCGATACTGAAGAACTTTCGACACTCTGCTGAAGTTTCTCCATTGTAAAATGAATATGGCTTTATTATACTTTGCCCGAACGAAATTTATTGTAAAAAAATACTCTTTCTGGCAGATGTTAACCAAATTTTTAG